GAGGGCCTGGCGAAGCCGGGAGCGGAGAGGGCGAAGGGCCGGTCGGGTCCTGGGTCCGCCGGGGCGCCCGGGAAGGGGCAGCGAGGGTCTGGGGCAGACGGTCCCAGGGGACCCGGGACGACCCCCTCGGGGGGGGTGATCGAGGGTGGAGGTGGGAGGAGCGCTTACTCCGGCCCATGGCGCCTCTCTGGTTCGTGGGCCCCGCGGGTCGGACCGGAACCCCGAGCTTCTCCGCGCGGGTCTCGGCTTCGCCTCGGCGCGTCCGCCGCGGAGTTCGGGAGCCATGGCAACGGGGACGCTACGGCGTCCGCGCGGGGCCAAGCGGAGCCGCGTTTTCTGAGCGCCAGGGCGAGAAAGCGGGAGACCCAGAGGAAGCTGGGCTCCCCCCAACCCAGACCTAGTCTTCGGCCACTTCCCCACGCTCGACCTTCTGTATACGGCTTCCCCCTCCCCAAATCAGAGGTCCAGGCGGAACAAAGATTCAGGAGTCTCTTATTTTTTATTTTCTTTTATTGTCAAGATGTGGGGTACAGGAGTCTCTTATTTCTTCTAGAATCTGCCTCCTAGCTTTGCCTTTCTACTGCCCTCTCTACTTTTACTTCCTTCTTTGTATTTCATCCACAGCTTCCAGAGCCAGGAGATCGGGATTTGGGCCCCACTCTTTTGTGGTGTCAGATAGATGACTCCACCTGTGAGAGCCGAAACGTCCCCATTGCTACATGAACACGACAACACGTGCAAACCTCGATGGCCCTGCCACCGAGCAGTCTGGGCTATGGTGTCTGATTACTCATGGAGAGGCTGGCAGGCCATGAGCAGCAGGCGAGGTTAGCAAATATGCCTGTGCTTGAACATGTGCATATTGACAGCAAGGAGTTCACCAAAGCTAAAAAGGAACTAACTTCAGGCAGGAAGCTGGTACCAGGTGGAAGGTTAGTTTCTAAGCTCACAGAGGCATGAGGTCTGACCTACCATAAAGGATTTCAGTCTCTGGAGACAGAGGGAGTCAATCTAGGACTCTAGAAAGTCCTCAAGAGCAATTGCAACCCAGGTGTCTGATATGTGGGCTTTGAGCTTCCCTCTTGACCCTCTCATCTACACACTGTTGACCTAGGAAAGAAACTGAGGCAAAATTAATATAGGTAAACAGTTTAATTGGGCCAAATTTGAGAACGACCGGCCAGGACACAGTGGGAAGTGATTTGAAGAACAAAGGAAGAGGCTGGAATTTTACAGGGGAAAGGACTAATCAAGAGAGGGGGGAACTGGGTGCGATGGCTCATGCCTGTAATCCCAGCACTTTGGGAGGCTGAGGCAAGAGGATGGCTGAACCCAGGGGTTCGAGATCAGCCTGAGCAACTTGGCGAGACCTTGTCTCTACAAAAATAAAAAAAATTAGCTAGGCATGGTGGCACACCTATGGTTCCAGTTACTTGGAAGGCTGAGGCAGAAGGATTGTCTGAGCCCAGCAGGTCAGAGCTGCGATAGCCATGAACGTGCCACTGCACTTCAGCTTGGGCGACAGAGTGAGATTCCAACTCAGAAAAAAAGAAGAGATAACTACAAAAGTTATCAGGGATTTTCATTGGCTTATAGAAATAACATTGGCTCAGTGATTGGCTATACATCATTGAATGTTTAGGTATGAGTTATGGTGTCCACAGTATTATAGCTACTAGTGGTGACATTCAGTCCAGAGTCCACCTAGCAAGTGGCTCCAAAATGATTACTTAACGCAAAGTTGGAGAGTGGAACGTGATTACAATGTCTCTCTGGGCCTAATACCATAAAGGGGGCTCTCATTTCTCTCACAAAAAGTTTATTTCCTTTATCATTACATGTGAACTCTCAGCCTTACACTTAAACCCTAGTGTCACAGGGGCTACTGCAGTTTGAATGTTTTTGTCTCCTCCAAAATTCATGTTGAAACTGAATCCCCAAAACAGCAGGTATTAAGAGGTATGACCTTAAGGAGGGAATGAGTCATGAGGGATCTACTCTCATAAACAGAATAGGATGCCCTTATACAAGGACTTGAGGAAGGGAGTTCACTCCTTTTTACCCTGTTTGTCCTTTCTGCCATGTGAGGACAGAGAGTTCCTCTCCTCAGAAGAACGCAGCAACAAGGTGCCATCTTGGAAGCGGAGACCAGACCCTCACTTGGCACCCAACTGGCTAGCACCCTGATTTTGGACTTACAGCCTCCAGAATTGTGAGAAACAAATGTGTTCTTTATATATCACCCAATTTCAGGTATTTTGTTATAGCAGCACCAACGGACTAGGACAAAGCCTAGAATTTTTCTTGTGAAACATAGTATCTGTGAGACCTCAGCATTCTATTCATTTATGTATAAGTAAATAAACAACAGGTCATCATTCTGGATAAACATCTCTAAGATATTTTTAAGCACTGTGTACTCAACACTACCACATACTATAAAATTGCTAACATCATTAATTCTCACAGCAACCCTCAGGTAGGTTCAGCATCCTTTTTTACACTGAGAGCTACTTGAGGGCAGGGAGAAAGTTTTGGTGTTTCTACTATCTTTCTTTCTTTCTTTCTTTTTCTTTTTTTCTTTCTTTCTTTCCTTCTTTCTTTCTTTCCTTCTTTCTTTCCTTCTTTCTTTCTTTCTTTCTTTCCTTCTTTCTTCCTTCCTTCCTTCCTTTCTTTCTTTCTTTCTTTCTTTCTTTCTTTCTTTCTTTTTCTCCTTCCTTTCTCTCTTTCTCACTTGCTTGCTTTCCTTCTCCTTCTTTTAGTCCTAGCTCTCCGCACATTTCCTGACACCCATTGGGTGCCCAATAAATATTTGTTGAAACATCACATGAATGAGTCGGTGAGCCAATCTCATCAAGAGCTTGGCTGTCCTAGGTGTATGGACCACATCGTGCAACTTCGGTAGGACCATCATCCAGGCGTCCATGCTGTAAGGAGAGCTCGACAACTGCCCAGGAGGGGTGGCCCCATTCTTCTGGTCATTGGCCCATTACTCATCTTTCACCAAAATCTAACATAAGACCTAGTTCCAGGGACAGGGTCTTGGCAGAGTGTCCCACCGCTCTGATGGAGCAGAGAAAAGCCTTGGGGGATAAGGCAGGGGAAACAAGAATATCTTCTTCATAACTATTCATGAGCCAGCCTGGCCTGGTTGTACTGTGCTCTTCCTCAGCCCAACGTCACAGTCACTGTGTTTCTTAGAAACAGAGGACTCAGGGGGTATGAAAGCCATGCGTACCATGTGTTGCGATTGTCACTGTCCATTGACAGGGAGGGAAATTGGGAAATAAATTACAATGTGACAGCTCCAAGTAAAGTCAAGTACATTTCACTCAAAGTGAATGAAATTGTTTGAAGAGTCATGACGTATGTCTGTTTATGCAAAGCACTGTTCCAAATAGACTTGTTTCTTTGGTTTCTGGAACTAGAACAAGATGAGCAGTGCTTCCTGAACAAACTGCTGAAACATTTTGTGTATATAAGTAGAAGAAATAAATCTTGGGAGGTTTTTAAAACAAATTTCAGTAACAGCAAAATAGCCCTCTTACTTCTTTTGTGCTGGATAAATTCCAGGGGCATTGACCTAGAAAACAAGTTGGTTCTTTTTATTTTCATTGTTGTGTATAAATTTTGTACTTTCATGATGAATAGCCAATACTGTGATTATAAGTCTATTGTACGTTGCATTGTTTCTTTCAGAAGAGTTTCTTCATTACAACTTTATGACAAGTAAAGCATGCTCACAAATTTACCAGCAGTACTACAATTTCAATTTCTTTCTTCCGTCTCCCTTCCTTCCCTGTCCCCTTCTTTGCACCTTTCTTCTTTCATTCCTTCCTTCCTTCCTCTCTTTCTTCCTTCTATCTTTCCATCACCAAATATTTATTAAGAGCCTTCCATTTACCAAGAAATGTATATGAAAAGTAATTTACATAATATACGTAAAACCCTCAGAAAAGCACTTGACTATTCATTTTTTGAAAACAAAATATTTTCTTCCATAGATGGTGATCCTAAAAAGTAGTTTCCATCATTATCCCCATTTTACAAATAAGAAAACTGTGTCGACTTTGTACTGACCCAGCACAGAGAAAATCAAACTCAACTGCTTTGCTTGCTTTAGGAGAGACTGAAGGAGGGCAGCATTACTTATGTTGGTCTCTTGCATCCATCTGGAGGATCACTTCTTCTTCTTCCATCTGGTAGATTGAAGACAGGAAGTGAGAAAAGAGGTAGAATAAGGCTAGATAATTTCTAGTGCTTTCTTCACCCATATTTATAGATATGAATTTGAGTCATTGAATATGAATTCCTCAAACATAAGACACTCAAATGGAAGTGGAAAAGCATATCTCAAAATCAAGAGTAATATTAATTTAAAATGATTATCTTAATTTGTGCATCCAAACATTTGCCCATATCCATTAGTATAATAAAAACAAGAGTGGGCATTTTCCTAGGACTTTTACTAATTGGAATATAGGCAGAGAAAAGTAACTAGGAAGTTATGCTCCACCACTGATGGCTCAAGTGCAGGGGCCCTAAGCAAATTACTTAGCCTTGTTATGTCTCAATTTCCTCATCTGTAAAATAGGAAAAAATAAAGTGCTTGCTTGATAAGATTTTTGACAAGACTTCAAAGGTTTGGTGTGTAAAGAGTTTACTCCATCTTAATTTGTAAAGTGAAGGTTTTAAAACATGACTACAAATTATTTTACACTCCTGTCAATTGAAAGTTGGTGCCTATTCCCCTTCCCTTGATTCTAGATGCGCTTCTGACCATTTTGATGAATAGAGTGCAAGGGAAGAAACACTTGCAAAGCTGGTTCATAAAAATCCTTCCAGCTTTCACTTTGCTAAACACTGATTCTTGGAGTCCTGAGCCACCTCCACGTAAAAGTCTAACTACCCCGAGGCCACCATGCTAGAAAAGTCAATTGTAGATGCCCCCTCCAGCCAAGCCCCAACCTTGCAGCCCTCCCTGCCTAGGTATCAGACACGTGAATGATGCTGTCTTGCACTCTCTAGACCAGTCCACCCATCAGCTTAATATCACCAATGATTGACTTCTGTCAATGCCACATGGAGCAGAAGAATCACTCAGCTGATCCCTGCCACCTCCATTAGTATAATAAAGACAAGAGTGGAGATTTTCCTAGGACTTGACCCACAAAATCATGAGATATAGCCAAATATTTGTTTTAAATTTGTGACTAATT